ACACTTTATCATAGCCAAAACAGCCCCCTTCTGAACAAGTTATCGGCCTTCTTGCAATGTCCCCTCCGACAATCCCTACAAAAAATCCATGGGATAACCGAGATAGATGGAATTTTTTCACTCTCGTACCTACGTAGGCGCGCGTTGCGATCTGTGTCGACCGCTGAGAGTAAGAAGAATAAAAAAAAAAGTCGGAGGAGTAGGATCATGAAGAGTCACTCGGTCCGGTGATTCTCGGCTGTCGAGATTTATCGTATCGTATCGTATCACACACACAATAGGAGAGGGGGGGGGGAGGGGTAAGAGGGGTAATTACTATACTATGCTCTAACTTTACTTGTCTCGGCAAGAAGCATCCGAACATACTCGTACAACGAGGTTGTGAGTTTGTATTCCGCACCCCAGACAGACTGACGGATAGGCACGAATCCATTCATCCATCCATCTATTTATTCTTATTCTCATTCCTATCTTTATTTTTGCCCGTATTTTATAACTGTATGAATCCCTGTATTTCTGATTACTCCTCCTCCTCCCAGGGGGCGAGCACTGTACTCCACGCTACTACGATCCTGATATGCTCTGCTGTTGTTGTTGGTCTGGTCTCGTGCGGGGTGGGTTAACCCACAGTGTTCATCATATGTTTGGTGTAATCCATCACAGGGTTTCAATTGCGTATATATGATATTACTATGGAATTGTGGACGGGCTTTTTTTATTTATTCTTATGATAAGGCCCGAAGATTGGGTAGGCTGTCTATTATATCGTGCCCAAATTTACCAAGCATACCCTTCCCACCTCTGTACGTACATCAAATATATACGGTATGTATAGAATACCGGTAGTGGTATTGTACGGCAAGAATGGACAAAAATAATAATACAACTGCCCGAACTTCAAGTTTTATCCGTGAAAGGCCTAGAGTACCGTAACCGTAACCGTAACCCCGTAATAGTATCGTTGTTGCTCTGGTATTGTACTGGTATCACAATAACCCCCCCCCCCTTCCCCGTTCCCTATCCAAGACCCACGGTATGTCATACCAAAAAGGGTAAATGTAAAGAATATCGTATCCCCCCCCCCCCCCGCGGAAAGAATGATCGCCGGGAGATCAATACCGGTAGGCGAGAAGGGGAAGAAGAAAACGCCACACTCAAATTTCTCTCCTGTGATACTGTACGAGTACTCGTACCTCCCCACCAACCAACCAACTACCGACCGCCCCCATTTTCCCCGCTGGTAGTGACACAAGTAATGTGCGAGTACTGTACTCGAGTACAAGTGCCGATGCACTAGAGCGCTCGTACAAGTAACCATTCACGCGGCGCAGCTAAGTCAGCGTGTCGTAGATGTTATAATAACAATAACAACAATAATTATGACAATAATAACCGGACGAACTCCCCCCATTCCCCTTCCACCCTTTTTTCTTCTTTCTTCCCCCTCACAACTAGCAGGTGCGGTGCTGCTTCGCCGGGGCTTCATGCGGATCCGTTGCGTATACAAGCTTGGAGGTCGCCGTTTAGCTTGCGTCGGTGGGTCATCGTGGGTATTGTTTGGGTGGGATAGGATTGCAGCGCGGATTTGATCGGAGTATCGTACCGGTGGTATTATAGTGCGCTGTAGGCTCGAGAGGGGTGTTTGGCGGCGCAGCGGGGAAAGGGATAGAATGGCGGAGATGGGGGAGGTACAAGCGGTACCGTGGGGTCGTCTCGTCTCCGGGATAAGCAAGTGGCGGAATACGGTACCGTACCGTACCGACGGTACTCGCTATATTACCATAGGTGGCTATCGTGTTACTATACTCGAGTACGGAGTTTCGGCTCAGCATGCATCCGCTATCGGTGTTCGCAGCGAGAATGCCCCCACAGCATAGCGTAGTATTTGCATAGCATATTGCATTGTGGTCATGATTGTAACCCGGTATCTGCCTCTCTCGTTCTATATCCCTTATTGATTTCTTCTCCGGCTTCGTGGCATTGTGTAGGTCATGTGAGTGCTCGAGACCCTGTTTTATTGTGGTGTACTGGGTACTCGAGTACAGGTACTCCGGGTACTGGAATGTTATGGTAAAAAGAGTTTGTCATACCGTGCCTTATCGCATCGTCCGCAGATATACGTGACCTACTATACGTTACTTTTCAGTACTGTATAGTACTCTCCATATCCACACGTACATCTGCGTTCCATTCAATTCCGCTTGACTGAATGAATTTCTTTTTTCTCTCCCTCACTCACCCAACCAGCATCAAGATTATGACATTCTGATAGTGGGAAACAGCGTTTCTCCTTTTTTCTCCCCTTTCTTTTCTTTCTCCTCTCTTTCTCCCCATTCCGCATATTTGCCTGGTTTTCCGGGCGCTGTTTCCCTATACCGCCATGTGCTGGTGGATCATTTGATGATCGAAAGCCTGGATTGGAGGGAGGGTGAGGGCAAGTCAACTAAGGCACTTTTCATCCTGTCGTGCTTCCCCTTCCTTCCTTCCTTCTTTCTCTCTTGCCTCAAGTTGGGGGTTGTTATTAGTTGTTCCCAGACGGTCAAATCGCCGAGGTCCACGATGGAGGAGGCAAAACATAGAAAGCGATTCACAACCTAACATCACGTTGAGAAACCCAGCAGGAAAGTGTAGATATGGTAGGTGGGTTTTTTTCTTCTTTTCTCCCCTCCCGGGGGAGAACGAGGGGGGAAGTGTGCTACGGTAGCTAGTGGTAGTTGTGATCCTGGTGGTTAAAGATGTCAGACATTGCTGACGAGGGCAAAGGCGATAAATGATAAACAGTGGTGAATGTTTCCTTTCTTTTTTGGAGGGAAAGTGTGCGTGTGTGGGGGGAAGGTTGTTAAAAAATAAAAAAAAATTGTGGTTTTACATAAGTTAAATTGTGGATTTGATGTGAGGGTTTATATTTCGAGCTGAATTGAAACTAACGAGAGCTTCGTATCTTGCTCGTATCGGGAAATTCCCGGAGGGGGGGTGGGTGGGGGGTGGGGAGGTTACTGCAAGGAAGGGGAAGAGTGGTGGATGGATATCAGAAAAACATTGGTTGGGGGAATAGAAGAATGGGGATGCTCGTACCGGCACCGCATTATCGTCGACCACCATGGCCACGTTTGGAGAAGGGAAAAATGCGAACGGGCCCATACAGGCATATCGAGGTTTATATCGGAGTCCGGAAACCTTTCCCAGCCGCAACTACAGCCAAGCGCGATACCTGTATCAGGCAGCCGTAGAGTATCTTGAGAGCAAGAATGAGAGCTACAAGATACCGTACGATCTGGCGCTGGGCCCGGACTGCTACGGTAACCCAAGGGGCAAGAACAGAGACCATACGGTGTGGCTGGAAGCCAGACTAGTGGAAATCGTCCGTGCTTTTTGCGCTAGTCCGGCAAGCACCCATCAGCCCATAATATTATACCTGGTACAAGTATCACACGGTCCACGACCCTATCTGTTTTACAATTCCACTAAATCGGGAGAGGATCACCATGACTAAAATTCCATGATATTGCAGCCCCGAATGAAAAGAGGAAAGGAAAGAAATGCGCAAACCCCCCTCTCCCCAAAAACCTAAACCAACGAACCCTTTGGAGCGGAGCCATGGTGGTGGTGGTGAGACCCTCGATAAGATAGCGCAAGAACTCTTGTGATTCGCTATCTCCGGGAAGGCCTCTAATCTCCGGATTCGGAGACCAAAAAGCTCTCGAGGCGGATTACCGCTTCCCCGGCACGGTATATAGCCTGAGCCCATTGGGCATGTTGAACCTCATCAACTGGCTTCCGCAGTCCCGTCAACTCGCAAAACTAAACCAAACGTGGGCTGATTCTGAGATTTCCGCCGACAATCCGATAGCGAATAGCAAGAGTTTTTTTACGGCATTCTGTCTACCGGTATCCCATCATCCTTCCAGGGGAGTGGATGCGTGAACTCTGGTGTATGTGTCAGTTATTACCACACAGCTCCTATTGGATGCTTCATAATATTGCGACATTCCCCCTGCCCCCGATCCAATGTGTGATTTCACCACACTGCGGTTGGACCGGTACGGTGCCGTAGGGTGCCCACAGCAGTCGTGCGGTGCCGATAACTCAAGCACGGTGGATCCTCTCCCCATCTCATCCGCCCATATTAGATGCCACTCACCGACGACATTGAGTCTTTAAGGTTACTCCCAATTTCGGAGGAGTGCGGTGTTGTGCTGTGTCTTACGGTGGTCGCATATGATTCACTTTTCTGACGTATGGAACAGCTTCGGCTCGAGTTGAGAGAAAATGCTTTTCCCATTGCAACGTACCCCTACAGGTACAGTACCGTACCGGTACTGTACTTGTACAAACCCCATATGCCCGTCGATAGGCATCTTGTGGGAGTGTGTCCCATTTTTAAACGAATGGCAGTTGTGCAGCACAAAACTGGATTGGGCATACCGGTAGGAAGGGTCCTTTTATGCCTACCCAACAGAGAGGTATTAGAACATCTGTCCGAGTGCCGTGGATGGGCCATTGTTACCGTATCAATTGTTCAGATTGCACGAGTACTGCGTACTTTTCCCGCTCAAAACACTTTTTTTTTTCTTTTCGTTTAATAAGTACCTCCCCACCCCCCTTTAAGCAAAAGGACATGCGGGGGGGGGGGCAAGAAAGCGCACGAGAACGAGGAGGGGAGTGAGTGAATAAGTTTTTCGTCCAAAAAGGATGCCGTATGATTCAATAGGGTAGGAAACGAGCAAGGGAATCAAAGAGCGAGAGAATGAAGGAAAAAAAAAAAAAAAAAAAGAAGGGGGTAAGGATATCGGTAGGGTTGTAAGGGAGGGAAAAAAATCAGACCACGAAGAAATGCACATACACAGAACACCGGGCGAAATGACCTGAAAAAAGGAAGTTTTTAAGGGATGAGGAGAAAAGGTCACGCCATCATCAGATGGTTCGGTCGACCACCCCCTCCCCCCTCCATCTCCCACCCACTCCCACTCACTCCCACTCACTCCCACTCACTCCCCCACTCACTCACTCCCCTCCCCTCCACTTCCAACCCTATCCTGCCAGTGTCCCCGCTAAAATTAAGTAAGCCGTAACTCACAATCAGCCCGACCCCAATGTCCGTTGCGCCGGATTCGCCCAATTGTCGGTAGCGCATATCGTAACCATCGTCCCGAGTCTTTTTAGGAACATTTGTCCTTATCCCCGGCGCTCCTTGGCCCGCTCCCTTCCTACAATGGTACGGTACGGCTTATCATACCACACACCACCGGCGCTCTGCCCTACTCGAGCACACCGCGCTGTGATCAGGTACAAGTGTAGGCCTACAAAACCCCCTTCTCTTATATTAGTCGTCGAACGGTGGGTGACAGGGCCAAACATCAGGCCATTTCTCCCATCATCATCATCATCATCACAACCGCAACCACAACCCCAACACCGTACAGTAGTGTATTCAATCAATCCCACATTCTAAAAAAAGCCAGAGAAGGGAGAACCGTGCCAGTAAACACCTAGCAGGGAGGGAAAGGGAAAAACGAAAAGGAGAAGGGAAAAAATGATGGCATAATTATTTTTTTCCCGCAAGATATCTTTAATATCCTGCATTCCCTCCTTTCCTCCTTTACTCAGCCATCATATCATATCGGTACTCCATCACGGTGCTATAACCACGGTATGGTGCCATCCTTACCTTCTAAGGACCGCGCAACCTTCTGACCTTACCGTGCTCACTCCGGGTGGACGGTGTCCCTCAGTGATACCGACCCCATCCGTCCATCCATCAATTCACCCATCCTATCCCGTCCAGTTCGCATTATACTACCTCTCCCTCTCCCTCCCCCTCCCCCTCCGTGCCTCCCCACACACGCACATACACGTACATACGTACATACATACGCACACACATCCCTTCCCGCAGTTCTTGGGGAAGAAATCCGGAACGAGTTGGTGACAAAGGTTGCGGAGCTGATTCCACTGGCTCGGGTCTCACACTTCGGACCCGTGCATCCTCTCTTTCCCCTCCCTTTCTTTGCTAGCAGGACAAAAGCAGGGCCGTACGATTACGGTACTGTGTTTGCCCACAGGGTTCCCGGCGTTCGTCGGGTGCACTGTACCTGTCCGGGGTTACGGTGTGCAACCTACTCCACAGTACTCTTGCTCGTTGAGGAGGAACTAAGAAGAAAAGAAAAGAAAAAAGAAAAAAAGAAAAAGTGAGGATAGATCAGACCAGATCAGGTCAGTTGAGGGAGGCTGTCAAGTGTTTTTTAAGCTTTGAAAGGGTGAGAGAGGTTGAATAGAGGAGGGGAACGGAGGGGGAAGTATCGTCCATCATAATAGTTAGTAGGCCTTTTGTTCCCATTATCCTCTGTCCTCGTTAGGGTGTGGTGTTTGCTGTTGTCGGCTGGGTTTAACGACGGAGGATTTACTCGTACCTGAGATTCCTCATTCGTTGATCTCCTCCGCCGTACTGGGTAACCAACCATACCATATTCCCCCCTCGGGTCCGCCGCTGAGGAGCTGGCTGGCCCCTTCACATTCGCCTCGCCGCCGGGGATGGTCCCCGTTGGCCCTTCAACTGCTGCGGCCGTCCTCTTTGGTGCTGTCTGTCGTGTTTGCCCTTCCACTAGCTCCAGCTTATCAAGCAAGAACTGTTATCCTCAAAAGAAGCGCAATACTGATATCATGGCATAAGGAATCAGTTAGGTGCCGCTATTCTCCTCCCACTCGCAGGACCGCATCTCATCACCCCAGCTCGTTCACTTCTCTTCTCACCTTCCCCCATCATCACCACCACGAACAACCCCCACCCCCTTTTTCTGGCTCTTCGGTCTGGCCCTACCATTCCCGTCCCCCTTATCATATCATTTCCCCTTTCCCCCAATATTTCCTGATTTTATTATAGATCCCCATCTTCTGATATCTTGTGTAGCGTCCCCACTTCCCGTGGTTATCCTTTTTTTCTGTCTCTTTTCTTCCTTTCTTTCTTTTTTTTACCATTTCTCCACTCGGGTACCTCTCTTTCCTGGAAAAATTTCCGATTCGGAGGTTTAATACGCCACCCTTCCCCCCAAAGTACGAGTACACCATCGTATTCACAATCTTGGATCCCATCATTATCCACCCCACCCCCCCTTGCCCGGCTGGCCATTCCGTAAAGCGGTTTGGAGACAAGAAAAGGGCCAGCAAATCTGAACAGAAGGAGAGGGAAACGAACCATAAAAACAGGTGAGCAGATATCATCTCGCATTAGGGAAGGGGAAGAAGCGTCAATCTCCTATTCTTGCTTTTATCCCCACCCCCCTCCTCCCTACCTCTCTTCTCTGCCTGCCATAAGCTTTGACCAAACCAAGGTAACCATCGTCCCTGCTAACCGACCCTGGCCCAGACAGGCGGAATTGTCAAACTCTTGACAGGTTGAGGCAAGGACAGACTTGGACTGTGCATGTTGCGCCACTTCTTCGTAGTTTGCACTAAGCACTCGTTATTCGGTCGATAGAAAATTATTCCCATAACACCCCACAAGGAATTGACTATAATCAAACCCATCTTTCCCCTCCGGCCAGCGATCTTGAACCTCCCCTCTTCCCAGCAGCACTTCTCCAATTCTGGTTCTCCGAGAAAAAAAGAAAAAAAATACTAAGCAGGGGGCAATATTTTTTTCTCTTTCTTCCACAATATCTCGTCCCCCACGAACCTACTAGGGTCAGGGAAGAAAATCGGCCAACAGTGAGATAGTCAGCCCACCTCGTTTGGCGAGGGAACAACTGGTCCGAGCAAGTGAGAGAATACAGAAGGGTGTCGCAACTCAACTCGCGGCGCGTCGGCGCTAGGAGACGAAAAGCGATATAATCGGGTGACGTTGGGTGATTCTTCTCTTCTTTCGAAAGTGCCTCTCGACCTTTTAACTCTTTTCTCTCTCCCACCTCTTGTCGCAATACATACTGGAAAAAGGCGAACCTTGCCGCTCTCTCAGCAGTCAACGTCCAATCCCCCCTCCCCATCTTTTTATTTTTCCCATTCTGCTCCTCCCTCCCCCGCGCTCCACAGGGCCCAAAGAACCAACGAAAGCCTTGGCCTCTAGATAGTTGACCCCCCTCCCATTCGGCCCGTTGCCTAGCCGCGCGCAACGCTCTGAGAAAGACCCGAGTCGTTCGTTGCTACCTTTTGGTAACGAGTTACCAGACCATACTATTGTTGCAACAGCCAGCTATTTTTCCTAGGGTCACGCCGCAGCATGACAGTCATGGAGGGTGGGGGCCGGAAAGATATCGTTATAATAGGTGAGTTTGGCTCTTGATCGACGGCGCCGGCCTTCTGTCGTCTATTCCGTGGTTTGGTCGCTGAGAAGTGTTCTCGATAGGCGGCGGAATCATCGGTTGCACAACAGCATACTACCTGACTCGGCATAAGAATTACGACCCAAAGAAGCACAGTATTACCGTTATAGAAGCGACCAGAATTGCTGGGGGTGCGTCGGGGAAGGCTGGCGGGTTGTTGGCTGTATGGGCTTATCCGAACAATATCGTACCCTTTAGCTTCGCACTACACCAGGATCTAGCGATCGAACATGGGGGCGAGGAAACGTGGGGCTATAGGCGGGTGTCATGCGGGAATCTCGAGGCTATGGGACGGGAGCGCAGTGAGCTGGAGCGGCTAGGAGCCCAGACGGGAGTGTCTCTCGGGAAAAGAGTGGGGGAAAATAGAAAGGCGAGCCGGGGTAAATCGAAGGACTCAGGACTGCCGAAGGACTTGGATTGGGTAATGCCTGATCTGGTGAAGGGCTACGAGGAGATGGGGGGCAGCAACGAGACTGCCCAAGTTCACCCGTATCAATTCACAATGTCAATGGTAAGGCTTGCCCAGGAACGAGGGGTTAATGTCATCGTTGGCTCTGTGACGGATATCGAATATACGGAATCCAGCCCAACCCCTCCACCCACGACCCCACCCCCTTCCGACAACATGGCTCCGAACGGCCCGCCATCCCCAACGCTGTCATCTGCGTCCGTGAATTCTGTCCCCCCCCCTCGAAACAGCCGTCGAAAGGTCTCGGGGATAACGTACACGGACACACAGAGCGGCGCTTCTTGTACCATTCCCGCAACAACTGCAATCTTGGCCGCAGGCCCGTGGACCTCAAAGCTCTACCCCTCGGCCCCAATATCCGGGCTAAGAGCACATAGCGTGACCATAACACCCTCTTCGCCGGTATCGGCCTATGCCCTTTTCACCGAAATAACCGTCCCACCAACGCCCCAATCACCCCTCCATAGCAACCAGCCACCGAATATTGTCTCTCCGGAAATCTATGCCCGACCAAACAACGAAATCTACGTTTGCGGTGAGGGAGATATGGAAGTAGCCGTACCCGAAACAACGGCGGACGTACAAATTGACGAGGCCCGCTGCGATGACTTATTAACTCAGGTATCGAGTATATCAGACAACATTCGGCTGGGTCGTGTAACCCGCAAGCAAGCCTGCTACCTGCCTATTCTAAACGTAGGTGGCTCTGGTGGCCCTCTTATTGGTGAGACGGGGACCGAGGGTCTACTGATGGCCACCGGGCATTCGTGCTGGGGCATTAATAACGCCCCGGCTACGGGGAAACTGTTGTCGGAGATAGTGTTTGAAGGCCAAGCGTTGTCAGCGGATATTAGGCAGTTGGATCCTCGACGGATTCTTTAGCGCCCCCCAATTTTCAAAACCAACCCTCTGATTTACCCCGACCACGCCATCTATTCTTTCCCTTTCCACTATTGCAATGTCTATTGGAGCGGAGCGGCTATTTCTCGTTTTTCCTATTTCCTGTGGATATTTCTTCCTTTCTTTTTCGTTTCTTTATATATATCCTTTTCCGTCTTTGGTAAATGCAAACGTTGGTGCCTGGTATACTTTCTCCATCTTTTTTCCCGCCCTTTTTTCACCCTCACCTTCCGTGAGTCCCGATTGACGAAAACCTATACGCCCATTCCTTTCTCTCTCCCCTCCCCCTCCCCCAGCTTCTCTTCTTTTCTTCACACTATTACCCCCCCCCCCTTTTTTTTTCTCTTTACCCACCAATAGGCCGGTAGGCAAGGCAGGTCGGACGGACGAGCGAAAGAAGGGAATGGTATGGTATGGTAGGACACATGTATAGATAGAACAACTGATCGAGTGAGGTCTTGTGATGTTCCTTGCGACCGGCATTTTGGTGCATCGTATTGTACTCGTGTCTCCGAGCCAAGAATGGGCACCCAGTTAGGAATAGGCCATATGCTCCTAAAAGTAGTAAAGTGTTCATGCTATTTGAAAGACAGTGAGAGTGACACAAGATGCCAGTAACTGGGCGGGGTGATATCAACATATGATAAAAC